CAGGGTTCTAGGGCTCTTTAGTCAGCAGGTGATGAATTCTGCCAGGACTGAATCCTTCCCTTCAAGGCAGCAGGTTCCCTTCTGCCCTAGAGTACATTTGGAAATGTCATCTAGGACGTAGGGCCTGGAATGGGGCTTCATACCTCTGCCTGGTGTCCTATTCTCCTGTAACTGAGCTGGTATCCAAGTAGCAAGACAAAGTCCTCTTTACTCTCCTTTTCCACTCAAGTAAGAAGTCTCTTTCGGAGCTGTGATCTGTGCTGCCTGGGGTTGGGAGAAAGGTGGGTCAAGAACTCCCTTAGATGCGCTGGCTGGTGTCTCACTAGGTTGCATGGTCCCCGAGTCCACTGGATCTGAGCCCAGCACAGCACCAGGACTTGCTTAGAAGTTGCAATCTTTGTGACTTTCACTGCCTTTTGAGTTTATTTAGTACCCCAGAGCCCGTTAGCCTGGAGAAGCAAGGCTTGCTGAAACTCAAGTTGTGACTGCTGGGATGGTTGATTCCCCTCTGGTTAGGGCTGTTCTAAGTGCTCCTTCCATGGGTGTCAACCGAGTTCTGCCTGTATTGCTTTCTGCTATGATAGGAAAGCACTGAGTTCCAATGCAAAGTTCCACAATTGCTGTGCTCTCCCTCCCCCAAGAGCACAGATTCTGTCTTGGCCACTGCTGGGAGATTGGGGAGGGTGGTATTGGCAATTCAAGGCTATCTTTCCGACCCTCTTCAGTGCCTCTTTCAGTGATATGAAGTTAAAATCAGGTACTTTGATTGCTCACCTGATTTTTGTTCTTATGAAGATACTTTGTAATATCGATAGTCGTTACATTGGTGTCCCTGCATGGAGGATGATCAGTGGAGGCCTCTAATCAGTCATCTTGCTCTTTCCCTACCACTTGGTTTATGCGTTGAAGGGAAAGTAGGTGAGAGATCCAATGCCATCTTCCTTTCAAAGCTGAACGTACTGACTATCAAGCTTCAGTTTGTAATCTGGTGCATTGAACCTTGGTCATGTGACTGGATTTTCATAGTCACTCAGGCACTTTGACTTCCTAGCCATGGTTCTTCTTCCACTATGTATATGCTTAATATCCATTCAAACTGCTGAGTTTAAGTGGCTCTTCTGCCTCAGTGTCCAGAGTAGCTAGTATTATAAGCATGCACTACCATGCCTGACTCGTTCTCTCTTTTGTTTTGTCTTAATTTTTTGTAGAAACAGGGTCTCATTATGTTGCCCAGGCTGGTCTTGAACTCCTGGGCTCAAGTGATCCTCCTGCCTCAGTTGCCTAAAGCACTAGGATTATAGGTGTGTGCCACTGAGCCTGGCCTAAGGGGACCTTTGATTAATGTTTGACCTGCATCAAACTAGGATGTAAGTGAGAAATAAACTTTTATTTTGTTAGAGCATTGAGATGTTGAGGTTGTTACAATACTTTAGCTTAGCCTGAGTCATGAGATTTTTTATATGAGTTGAAGGTTGACTGTCCTCACAGCCTGATAATCTGATGTGCTCATCTCCCCAGGAAAGACAAACTGCTGCATGACCCTAATGAACACTTCCATTGGCTGCTGGGTACTCACCTTCCTGAAGAAGGCCTGGTTGGGCAAGGCAATATTTGGGTTTTAGGCTTCTTTTTTTCTCTGGTTTCTTGGTTTATATTTTAATTGACAGAATTTTCTTTATCTATATCAGTGCCTCTAGGCAGACACTGATGTCTTATTCACTAGAAAGAGAGATTCCACCTAAGCAGAAGTTGCCAAAATATGACAAACTAGGGAAAAAAGTTATGACTCGGGAAGGCATGGTTAAAGGGTAATTTTCTTAATTTACAAAAGAATCTTATAAATTAACCAAAAAAATAGATAAGGTGATTCAAATCAGAAGGGAAAAAAAGATATGCAAATAGCCAATTAGACTAATGAATCCTCAATCTTTGATATGGTTTGGATCTGTGTCCCCACCCAAATCTCATGTTCAATTGTAACCCTCAGTGTTGGAGTTGAGGCCTGGTGGGAGGTGATTGGATCATGGGGGTGGTTTCTCATGGTTTAATACCATTCCCCTTTGTGCTGTCATCCTGAGAGTGAGTTCTCGTGAGATCTGGCTGTTTAAAAGCATGTGGAACCTCTCCCTCTCTCTGGGTCCTGCTCCTACCATGTAAGACATCCACTGCTGCTTTGCCTTCCACCATGAGTAAAAGCTCCCTGAGGTCTCCCAGAAGCAGACGCCGCCATTCTTCCTATACAGCCTGCAGAACCATGAGCCAATTAAACCTTTTTTCTTTATAAATGACCCAGTTTCGAGTATTTCATTATAGCAGTATGAGAATGGACTAATACAGCCTCTCATCACCCCTCACTAATTCTACAAATGAAGATACTGGGCTGCAAATGCACACATTATTGATAAGGAATTTCCCTGCTCCCTTGAAGGCACCCCCAATCCCAGCATTGGTGAATCTTCAAACAGGGCAGGCTATGATAGGTAATGGCTGGTGAAGACAGCAAAGACTCGGCAGCACTCACCATGGCAAAGTTCCTCACTTGCTATCTATCCCCATCATTTTGCGCATGAGGAGGTGGAAGCATGGAAATGTCAAGTTACCCATCTATCTAGGTAACTATTTCCTCTTCGATGTCCCATAGATACCTCCCACTCACTGTCTACAACAGGCTCGTCATCTTTTTTCCCAGACTATCTTTTTCTCTTGAATTCTTAATCTCTGAGAACGGTACCCCCACCCCACCCCACACTTTTATGCCACAGAGCTGGGAGACCCTGTGGGCTCTTCCTCTCTCTCTGGTTCTGTGTTCTGTCATCACTATCTCTTGTTAATTCTGTCCTCTGACCATCTCTCCTAACCACATGTCTATCTCCAGCCCCACTGTTATTTTTCCTTGATTTGGAATTACATCAGCCTGAACTAGGGCATTTGCAACTCATCTTACCATCTGTGGTGTTATTCTTTCTCAGAGCAGCCAGAGTGGCCTTCCTAGCACCCAAGTCTTATCATGCCAGACTGCTGTTCAGAATTCTGAGGTGTCTCCACATTAAGTAGAGATAAGATGCATGTTGATCTGACTTCTGCCCACCTGTCCTGCCTCAGCTTCTGCCACCTGCTGCATGTACAGGTACATCCTAATACAGCTGGATTGCTGGTGGTTGCCCAAACATGCCACACTGTCTTGTTCCTTCCATTTTTTTAAGGCTATTGCACATGCTGCTCCTTTTACCCAGAATCCTCTCCTCTACCCATCTCCAAGCCTCTCCTCATGTTCAAGTCTCAGCTCCAAAGCTTTCTGCTCTGAAAACAGCACTGTCTTGAGATTCAGCTGCGTTTTTGCCTCCGCTTCCTCTGTATCTTGACCTTGCTTCTCTTCTGCCATTATCCTCTAGACTTGCAGGGGGAGGTGTCAGTCTTCCAGGGAGTCAGTGAACTGGATGGAGGGGCAGCTTCTTCTAAACTTTAAATCTCCAGTGCCAATCTAGGACAAAGCCTGGTGAATGATCAATACCTATGTGGTGAAAGAAACAGACAATTAATCAATAAGACATTTGCCCTGTCTGGGAGTTCACATACAGCGAGGCGATGGCTTTGTAAGCCCCTCACTCTGACAGCAGGCTTGTGGGCTGCGAGGGCTCTGACCCTCCTCAGGAGTTGGGAGAGGCAAAGGGGGTCAGCTCCAAGTGTACACACATCACATTCACCACACCTTGCTTAAAAAACAAATCTGTAAGTCTCAGCTGCCAAGCGTGATGTAAATATATGGGGATTGAGGGACTAATTCTGCTGGTCTGAGGCTTTTCCCTGGGTGGGGAGAGATTCAGGCCCTTTTTGTCTTTCATTTTTCACAAGGAACAGGCAAAGGGAGCCTGGCTCCTCTGGTTCTTCATCCCTCCCAGAGTCTCTTCCCACGCTCCAGAGGGCACCCCTTTCCCAGGGGGTGGCCAGCCCAGATTTGGTAGGTGGCCCACTGGTTGGCCTCCTTAAACTTTCCTAGAACTGTGCCACAGTTTAAGGGACAAACTTTTGAAAAACAAAAACAACCACAAAAAACTTGAAAGACTTCAAACCTTTATTTGTCTAAGAAAATCCACTGTTAACCCAACAGCTTGCTTGAATGGAGTTGTTAAAGATCAACAAAAGCTGGACATTAGTGAATGCATGAAAACAGATTTGACTCAGTAACTACTTACAGTAGGAGAAAAAGCTGCTCATTCTCATTTGGCAGAGGAGACTGGGCGTTTTAAAGGGTGAAGGAGAGAGTAGGGCGGGGGAAGCTAGCAGGGGCTCAAGTGAAAAATCACGAAGGGGTGGTCAGTATCAATGACTGGGCAGCTGTGCCTGGAGCTGGCAGTTATGAAGCTGGGATTGTACCATCCCACAGAGACTGGGGGACAGAGGCCTATCTTCCCCATGATTGCATTTCAAAGCAATGGCTTTCAGCTCCTCGAGAAAGACACTTCTGAGGTGTAGGCGATACATACACATCTCAAAACAACAGAGAAAGGATTCACAGTTGTAAGCTCTTTTAAGAAAATACCCTAAAAAAGGGGGGTCAGAGGCCTTACCATCGGGTGTTGGCTAGAATAAACGGAAAATTCTCCTGGCTGCCTTGAGCTTTCTCGGGAAGACATTTTCCTGGGGTCGAGGTTAGAGGGCAGTGGAGAGTGGAGGACTTTGAGTCATACTCCTATAAGCCACTCTAGAGTTCCTCGTCTTTGAGTGCAGAGGTTTAGACTGTCTTTGTGTGCAGAAAGTCCTGCAGTTCTCACAGCGACCTGCCAGAAAAAGTCGTTCCCAAATGTTTGTAAATCCTCCGTTCTGCAACCCGCCTTCACGTTCTGCGGTGATCTTGTCGTGCGAGAAAACGCGCCGTATTAGCAGAGAAGGGGGTGGCAGAGTGCTGGCGCTAAAGGTCACGCTGCACGGGTAACTGTCGCGGTGTAGGGGCGGGGAAGAGGGAGGAGACACTGACCACCCCGGAGCTCGCTGGCTTTGGACGTCGTCGTTCCCGCGGCGCCCAGGGTACCCCAGTGGCTCTCTTCCTGTCTTCCCCCATTACTACGCAGGCTTTGTCACCGCATTAAGGCATTCCCGCTCTCCGCGGAACCGCTCTGCCATCTCGGCGGTGAAAGGGTGAGAGGGCCAGTGTTTGGGTCAACTTTGACTCCTCCCACCCGTCCGGATCGTTAAGGGCCTCCTCGTCCTCCAGGGCTCCGGTCGCTGCGGGGTCTGTGAGCAGGTCCGCGACCGCCCTCGTTCTGCCATGGGCGCCTCCAGTTCCTCCGCGCTGGCCCGCCTCGGCCTCCCAGCCCAGGCCCGGCCCAGGTGGCTTGGGGTCGCGGTGCTGGGACTGGCCGCGGTGGCGCTGGGGGCTGTCGCCTGGCGCCGAGCATGGCCCAGGCGGCGCCGGCGGCTGCAGCAGGTGGGCACCGTAGCGAAGCTCTGGATCTATCCGGTGAAATCCTGCAAGGGGGTGCCCGTGAGCGAGGCGGAGTGCACGGCCATGGGGCTGCGCAGTGGCAACCTGCGGGACAGGTACGGCCGAGCGCGGGCGCGAGGCAGCGCGGAGCCTGCTTGGGATGAGGAGGGGGAGGCAGGTGGGGCCCGACCTATCTGAGAAGGACTATAGAGGTTTGCCGCCTGAGTTTCTGGGCTGACTGTTGAGTCGTTGGTCGTTTAGCTGGGAAAGCCAAGTTCATGTCAGATTTGTTTTTGGTGAAGTATGTAGGGGCAATCCCTTGCCCTTCCCTAGACGAGAGAGTCCTCCTCTGTAACAGGAGGGAGTCTGACCTGTATCTCCAAGCCTCCTTAGCTCTAAAGTTTGTGATTCTATCTTATTATACTAAAGTAGAAAATAAAGCTATTGGCACTAGAAAGCAGCAAGAAAGAAACCAAATGTTGTTCAAGGGCATTGGCTTAGTGGGCCTTGTTCCTCACATTTCTCCAATCCTAGGGGTGCCAGGGGGGCCTGATACACTTTGACTAAGGATGAGCAAGTGGCATGGGGACTCTGGGGCAGGGGTCCCTTACTTGCCATTAAAGGAATAGTGCCCCCCCTTCTCCCATAGGCAGAATTGTTCACAGCCTGGAACTTTGGGACTTTTGGGTCTGACACATAGACATTTCATACTTAGGATTAAGATGCCTTCTTCTTCTTCTTTTTTTTTTGAGACAGAATCTCACTTTGTGGCTCAGGCTGGAGTTCAGTCGCGCTATCTCAGCTCACTACAACCTCCACCTCCCAGGTTCAGGCAATTCTCCTGCCTCTGCCTCCGGAGTAGCTGGGATTACAGGTGTACACCACCACACCTGGCTAATTTTTGTATTTTTAGTAGAAACGGGGTTTCACCATGTTGACCAGGCTGGTCTCAAACTCCTGACCTCAGGTGATCCACCTGCCTTGGCCTCCTAAAATGCTAGGATTACAGGTGTGAGCCACTGTGCCCAGCCAAGATGCCTTCTTATCTGGCTGAGATGGTTTAGCTGTGGCCTGTGTCCAAGGGGAGGGAGGTTTGCAAGTTGATCATTCAAGGATTCCTCTAGCAGAGAGCCATCTGCATCCCTGTGTTCACTCCAGCACACACAGATGCACTGTTTTCTGAAGACTGCTGCCTTCTTAAAGAAATGTGGGCTTCCATGGTATTGGAAAACTTCAGTGAGTCTTAGAGAAGTGTTGTGTACACAGACCATATGAATCATGGGAGGATTTTCATTCTCCCACCGCCACCCCAAATTTCTTATCCTGGAGAGCTTTTTCAACTATAATTTCTTGAGATTCCCATCCCAGGACTACTGAAGCAGAATCACCAAGAGTGGGGCCAACTTGTTTAGAATGTTTAAATCTCCCCCTGGTGATTTTGATGCTATAATTAAAAGGTTTTATCTGAGACCATGAAGAAGAGGATGTTTAGAGCTTATTTAAATATGAAGGATAAGAAAAGTCTTCCTATTGCTGGAGAGACTTCAGGCTCTGTGGGACTGGACACCTTCCAAAAAACTGGGAGAACCAAGTTCTCACGATGCATGTCCAGAGAAAATCAGTGTTGCAGACTAGGTTGCACTACTTCCTTCCTCACTTGAAGGATTGGTTTCACAGACAGTTTCCAGTTCTAATCTGCATTTCCTCTGATCACCTGAAGAACTGTTTCTTTCCCACTTCTCTTTGTCACTGCTTTGCCCTGACTACTGCAACCATGGAAAGAAAATATGTGTCCTTTGCCTGTGCTTTTTGCTCCCATTGGCATCCTAACATAAATACAACTATATTACCGTTCCCTTGTTTTAAACAATAAACGCTTAGGATGGGGTGGGGTGATGTGAAGCCTGGGGTGGAGAGAAAGGCAATGAAATTAATGTTAATTCAGTGGTAAAATGCAGCAGATACTGAGCTAAATCCTGTCGCATAGATTAGCATATTTAAGCCTCATAACAATCTTGTGGGCTTGATATAATTATCACTATGCAAATAAGGAAACAGTATCAGAAAGAATGAGTATCTCATCCAAGTCCAGAAAATCAGTGTATGCTGTGGGGATTTGAACTCAGATCTGTGTGAGTACAGTACTTACGCTGTTTGTATGAAACCAGTGCATGATATAAAAGTATAAGGATTGCACTGAGGATCAGGAGACTTGGGACGAATGTTTACAAAGTTTTCTTATTTGCAAAAGAATGAGGTTGAACTTCATGGTCTCTAAAGCCCCATTTTAACTACGTTTTATTTATCGAAGGTTAATTAACAATTTGAAAGCAGGCTTGCTGGAGAGAACTCTGTTCAATGACTGCTCTTCTCTCCACCTGATAATTTAATAACACTACTACAAATGTTCCTAGAATTCAGGGAAAGGCCTCATTTAATGAATTCCATTCTGAACCTCTGTCTTTGGAACTAACTGTTTGAAGGAGCTGGGATTTTCCTCTGGAAGTGCTCTGGGTCTCAAATTTCTGAAGGTATTTTATTCAAAGCTCTTAGTATACTTGTGAACACTTGGCTTGAGCACGTTAAGCATTGAGTGGTTAAAGTCCACCTAGCAGAATGCTGGCATTGGCTGCCTGGTGCAGTTGCTGGGAGGGCATGGTTGTTCTCCCTGACCTTGGAAATCTCTGCTGTCCTTAGCAGCCATATGTGAGTTGATCAGTTTTTTCTGTCCAAACCCTTACTGAAGCCAGCTTTTTATTTCTTCTGCGCAAATGATTAACTGTTGGAGAAAGGAATCCCTTGAGGTTATTATCCAAGATGTTGTTCCCTGCCCAATTCCTGCTCTCTTTCTCGTCCCATACTCAGTGGTAGGGTTCCTGTTTTCCCTCACTTTTCAGTCCTTCCTGCTCCCCAGGCCAGTTTGTAATTGGGAAATGAGATTTTTTTCCATTGTTTTGGGCTCCACTTACTCGTTGCTGTTGATCAGGGCACTGTAGCTCTTTTGGGGAATTGGGGCTCTAGGCTTCTACACTGATCCATGTTTTACCTGTAAATTCAAGGCACCGCCTTTTATGTTGCAGACTAGGTTGGAGTAACTTGGTCATGATGAAATCCATACTCCAGACTTAACTCTTCTTTCAGATCTGGCAGAATAGAACCAGTTATTCTTTCACTGGGCATCATTTTGTGCACAAGAGGTGAAAAATAATATTGCCCAGGTTGACAGGGAAATGAGATGGTTGGGGTATGTTACAAATGGCAACCTTTTAACCTATGATTACTATCATTGTCCTGACCCAAAATTGGACTCCCGGCAAGTTGCCACTTGCTTTTTCAGTGACAGTGATGAGTGGGAAACCTCTAGCGACTACTTCCCACTGTTAACCCCAGCAGTTAATGCCTGTGTTATTATACAATAGGCTGGAGCCACGGGCCAGGCTATGAGCCACGGTGAAGGGCAACATTAGTAAGGGATGAATGGGAGATGGGAAGATTCAGCCCATGGAGAAATAATGTCAGAAATAACGTGCAAACAGATTTGCCACTCCTGTTTGAACATGGCTCTGGTTGTGTGCAGATCTCAAAGGGAGTCTTGTCTGGGGATGGGGCATGTTGGAAGTTAAGGGTGAAGGCTTTGGTGAGGTTAACCAAAGAACTGTGCACCAAGGGACAAGGCTGGAGATAGGGAATAGGGCCCAGCCCTATTAGGCATCTAAATCAGAGGATGCCTGCCTATTTCATTGTAGCCCGGTTCTCTGGGCAGACATCCTCTGATTTATAGAACCCAGCCCCAGGCTGAGTGAACCAGAGAACTGTGGGATCTAAAGACATCTTTGACCAGGCAGGATAGCTCGCATCTGTAATCTCAGCACTTTGGGAGGCCAAGGAGGGAGGATTAATTGAGCCAGGAGTTCCAGACCAGCCAGGAGGTCCAGACCACAGTGGGACCCCATCTCTACAAAAAATAAAAAAATCAGTTGGGCGTGGTGATGTGTGCCTGTAGTCCCAGCTACTCAGGAGACTGAGGCAGGAGGATTGCTTGAGCCCAGCAGTTCAAGGCTGCCATGAGCTAAGATCATGCCTCTGCACTCTAGAGCCTGGGTGATAGAGTGAGACCCTGTCTCCTCTCTCGAAATCAATTAAATATAAATATATATATGAATAAATAATACACATATGCATTTATACACTTAGAAAGGAAAAGGTGGTCTCCTCAGAGGGGTGGGGACTTGCTGCTACCCAGTGTCGCCAGCTTTTTGGAAGGGGGTAGCCAAGACAGTTACGGGAATGCCTTTACACTGCCACGCCATCGTCATGCCAGCTAGCAGGGCACAGGCTGCCAGCCATTGTCTTCCGGTGTGGTTGCAGGGAAGGGACAGTTTAGCCAGCACCTGGAAAGGACTCTACTGATGAGGAGGTTGCGTATGCAAGACTGTCAGGGCCAGGACAGGGCAGAGACGGATCTCCCTGTGCTCTGCTACCGGATGTCCTCCTGAGGTCTCCTCAGGCTTTCCCTGATGACTCTGGCCATATTTTGGAATGTCTTCCTGGGAAGAGCCATCCCTGCTTCTGGAAGGGGCTGTGCTTTTTATCCTCCTCACATTTGAAAGGCTCTGGCTTTCAGGCACTTTTTACTCACCAGTGCCCACATTTTCCTCACCCGCTTGCTTGCAGATTCTATCTTCTTTCTAAAATAGTAATACTGGGCTGGGCACGGTGGCTCACACCTGTAATCCCAGTACTTTGGGAGGCCGAGGGGGCAGATCACTTGAGGCCAGGAGTTTGAGACCAGCCCAGTCAACATAGCAAAACCCCGTCTCTACTAAAAATACAAAAATAGCTGGGCGTGGTGGTGCACGCCTGTAATCCCAGCTACCCGAGAGGCTAAGGCAAGAGAATCACATGAACCAAGGAGGCGGAGGTTGCAGTGAGCTAAGATTGTGCCACTGCACTCCAGCCGGGCTGACAGAGTGAGACTGTGTCTCAAAATAAAGAAAATGAAACAAAACAACTAAACTAAAGGAACCAAACTGTGATATTGACATTTATTTTTCCTAGGAGTGGAAGATTTTTTCTTTTTGGCAACACAGTGTTTTGTGTGGTGTAGGCCCAACCT